CTGGGTCTTAATTCATAGGGCAAAATTTCACAAAATTGGTATAGGTCAACTTTTAAAAAATAAGAAGTTCAGCAGTTATTTTGGCCTATGAAGTAACTTGCTAGGTGAACAGGGAGAAGTAAAGTATACTGTGTGTATTYTGGTCTATTTAGTTGTTGCTAAGACTTAGCAAAGGCCTCAAGGCAAAGAGTTTTAATTAAAGAAATAAATGGGCAGGAATCTGCCTGCACAATTTAAGATTATGTGACCATCTATGAAGTTAGGATTCCCTTACATCAATTAAATAAAGCATACGGAATCTATATTAAACAACGTTCTTGATGTGTTCCCAAGAGTGCTGACATAAGCTATATGAATACATGCCTTCTGGTAATGTTCAGTCCTCTTCATTTTCCCCTTCTTTTTAGAGCATGGGTGTGTTAGGCATTGAGGATAGAAGGATGAAAAAGATACAGAGCATGGCTTAAGAAAAGCCTGATGAATAGGGGAGAAGTAGTTAAAAGCACATGGTACATACTGGAATGGCAGGAGGTACAGAAACAGCAGAAAGGAAGGAAGAAAGGGAAGGAGAGAGGGAGGCAGGACCCCTAGCACCTCCCTCAATGGCTCTCCAGGATGGAAGGTAGTGAGGGTGGATTTGTAGAGGAAATCTTTACATGATTGGGCTTCTGAAGGGTCAGTGAGCATCCATCCACCAGGTGAAGAAGGCAGGAAGGGTGTTCAAGGCCAAGGAGATAACAAGTGCCAAGCATGCGTGTTTAGAGAAGTCCAGCACATTTGGTATTCCTGCACTAAGAAATCAAAGAGAAAAATTATGACAAACGATACTGGAGGCACGAGGCAAGGCTCACATCGTGAAGTGTTTTACGTGCTGTGATTAGGAATTGGAGTTCCTTGTTACTGGTGAACCATTAAAAGGTTTGAAGTAGGGGACTCATTTGGTTCACTTGAGTTTTACAAAGATCTATCTGGATGTTATGTGGCAGATAGATAAATGGAAAGAAATGAGGTGGAGCTGGTTAGGAAGGTGTGGCATTAGCCCATATCAAGAGTGATCTTGAAGGTCTGGACCCAGGGGTGGGAGGATGGAGAAGCTGGGGTAAATTTGGCAGAGGTTAAGGACATAAAATCAACAGAACTCAAAAGTTTTATGGTGATTGAAAAAGTAAAAGTCTAAGGCAACTCAAGGTTTAACATGAGCGACTTGGTGAATGGTGGGACCAGTGAGATAAAGGACACCAGGTGGGGAGTTGGGTGTGGGGTYGTGGGTGAATCTGGAGTACAGTTTTGAACAGATGTCATGATTCACATTAAGAGATATGGCTGAGCTTAGAAGCAGATAAGAAGTTGTATTTTAGAAATGGGGAGAATGGGATATCTATGAATCACTGAATCGAGATCTTCACCAGCAGGAGATTTATATGATTGGAGTTTAGAACAATGGGACAGAGCTGTATTCATAAATTTTAGGACTCACGGGTGTCTAGAGGTTATCACGAGAGCTACAGGTAAGTTTATTGGAGAGTTGGAAGAAGAAGGGGCGGAGGGTGGAATTTTGAGAACTCATATTATTTATGGGGTGGACAGAGAAAGAAGTGATGGGAATGACCAAAGAGAGAAGAGCTAGATCATATGATGCCAGTGTGTTCATTCATCTGCCCATTTATCACACACCCACTCACCCACCTGTTTAGTCAGCAGAGTTTCATCAGTGAGAACTTAAGACATGCCTGGGAAAGGAACTAGGACAGGTATTGATGAATCACAGAGTTGAAAAGGGTGTGATTTTTTACTCAAGCTCCCAATCTAGTCAGGATACAGGAGCAGGGAAGAAATGAGGGTTGTTAAATCATATTCATTAGAAAGCGTGAGGAAGGATAAGAAGAAGGAAAAGTAAGAGGGAAAGAAGATCAATTTTGTTCAGCTTCATTCATTTTAACTTTCATCCCTGATCACAGTGCTCATACTGTATGTCCTAGAGGATTTTGATATCTACATCATATTTCAAGAGAAGCCTACCTCAAAAATTGCTTTTGACATGAAAAGCCAGGAAATGTTATCTGATATGAAAGTAGAGGTGCTCTACCACTTTTCTGTATCATTACATAGAAAAGGAAAATAGTAGTATCAGTCGTTTGAAATTTTAATGAAAAGTASAATGAACAAAAGTGGACATGTTTTAATTGTTTTAAGTGTAATTTCTGCTGGAGTCAAGATGACTGGACTTTATAGCCATCTAAGGACACTTTTAGTGCTGACACTTCCAGTGCTTAAGCAGCTCAGTTATGCCTTTTCAGAAATATACTTCACCATCAACTGGAAAGCCAGTCTCTAAAAATGTTGTAATACGTGGTGGAGGAATTATTCATAGAACTTCTTTCAAATACCTTCCATATATGCCCTATAATGGAGTTAGTCTTCCTTGAAGGATCTTAAACTGCAGACAGAACTCCTGCTATGAAATCAGCTTCCATAGAATGATCAATCCTAATAAAACTCACTGAAATAGTGTAGACATTTCCCAAACCAGCACAGAATTAAGTTTCATGAGATTGTTTTAGAGATGCAAATGCCTATACTTACAGAAACAGAGCATTGCAGAGAGAAAGACACTGAGAAGGGCTTAGACCAGCCTACCAGTACCATTTTTTTCCCTCTGTGCCCCCAGCCAATAATCAGCTCATTATCCATTTGGTTCTAAGACATTTCCAGTGGAGGCAATTCTGAATCAGCTGTGGTGTTCAGTGGGACTTATTTCTAAAATCCTGTGGGTGGCAAAAGGACTTCCCTCTGAACTGTTTGRCTCACCAACCCTCCAACTTACATGTCCTCTCTGCTTTCCTGTTTTATATACAGTAATAACCTTTATTCACTGTGCTAGGCTATCACATTGACTTCRTAACCAATTGGAATGAAATAAAATATGTTTGTACTCATAATGCATTAATTCATCTTTCCCCGGTTTTCAATTCCACAGGGATATGCTTTGATTTCCTATTTATTAAGGAAGTATAACAGGAAGAGCTAGGGATTTTAACAATCTTGTAAAGACTAATATAACCATATTGGTATTATCATAAGTATATTTATTTAGGTATGTAGAAAATATTGTGTWGCTTCAGGTTGCTTCCCTTAGTCATCCTGGAACAGCTTTGCATTAACAGTATAATTTAGCTRTTTTTTGAAGTATTGCCATCTGACATTCCATTACATGCTATTTCATTTTATGTTAAATATGTCTTAAATAGGGAGCTAATGTGTACCCTTCTCTTATTTGCTTAAATTTTGGTTTACCAATTGCATTTTGTTTCTTAAAGAAATACTTAGGAAAAAAATTCCTGCAACCTGTGCTAATAGAGCTATTTACAAGAATAAATTCTTGTAAATAAATAAAATAAATTCTTAAGGCAGAGAAAAGCCCAGTGGGCATAGGCATTGGCTTTAGCTTAGGAGCAGGGTCAATAGCAGGGGTAAGGATGGGGGGCATTGCTGGTACAGATTTGGGACCTTTAGGTGCTGTTTGATGGGTGAGGCAAGATACAAAGTGTGGCACTAGAAGGCTTGTATACCAGCCAAAGACTGTAGTCTAATACTTGAACAGCCAGTGCTGATGGACGAGGATATCCTAACTGAATATCAGCTCTGTGTATGTCAAATATTATGTTACATTTTATTAGGGGTTGGTAGAAATGGAGATCTCTGTGGTGTCAAACTACATCTGTTTTTTTTTTTTTTTTTTTTTGCCTCCAATACTGCTGTAGTGTAAGTAGGGGTCTTTGATAGAGGAGGCAAGAGGAGACTCAGCAGGATATTCCTGAAGTCTGGAATTCTTGTCCATTGGACAGAAGATGGTTTAAAATGCATGGGGTCACCTGCTGGAATAGGATCCAGTAATAGGATCTTAATTAGAATAGTGACCCAGAGTGAGAGCAGGAGAAGGAGGGCTCTGGTGGGGCTCTGGGGTGGAACTCTGTGGTGGTTAGTTGCATAGGAAGGCCTCCTCCTAAGAAAATTTTTTTCTGTCTCTAGGAATCTAGCCTTGGGAGGGGTGGTCTCTCCAGAATCAGCATTGTCCCAGAAGACATAGAATCAGAAATGCAGAGAAACTGGAGGCACGATTAATACAAAGGCCACTCTTGGGAAATGATACAAATGTATCCTTAGAGGTCCTATGAAGGCAGGCAGAAATGTTTTCTTTTTCTTTACTCTTTTTATAGTTGTGGATACTTCTAACACAGCACTCACTAATTATACTGAGATTTATTAGGCCCTTACTATGTGTCTGGCACTATCCTAAAAATTTTACATGCATCAGCCCCATTAGTGTCCACAACACCCTGTGTAGTTTGTAGTGTTTGTGTCCTTGATTTGTAGAAGAGGGAGCAGGAGCCTTGAAAAATGACACAACCAAGTCAAGGTCAAGTAGAACTATGATGTAACACTCATTCTCTGTGCTATATTCCTTCTCCRTTTCATTATATTTGGGTTACTTTCTTGTCTGTTGATGTAGCTAGCTTGAGCAGCTCAAATGTTGAATGGTTCTCCTTGCCTGTGTATGTCTGCTCTCCATCACAGAGAAGGCACTGTAGAAACATTTGTGGAATCAATGAGCATAGCTCTATCATCCTTCTTTTTAACTTGGAAAGCCTGATGAGCAGCCAGGTRTCTAGTGACAGTGAGAGCTGGCCCAAGGGAGAGGGAACTGTTTTATATTGCATTTTCTGAGAATGGCAACTGGGGAGAAAGACAGRTATGATTCTGCAAATGCTTATGTGTGTTTTGTGGCATTTGTACTTTACCTAATCTGGTTCCACAAGTGCTTGCTATGCAAGAGATCTCCTTGAAGAAAGAAGTACGAGATGTGTGCCATGTTGGGAAAACCAAGTGAATGTGCAAAACGTATTCCAACCCAGACATGTTCATGTGAGGGTGAGCTAGACCTCCTGTTCGTGTCCTATGGAGCTTCCCTAATCATCTCCTCTGYTTTGTCTTTCTCCCAGCTTGCCACCAGTCCTGTTTCAAGTGTTTGGGGAAAAGCCCTCATAACTGCACAGCCTGCAGGCCTTCCCACATGCTGCTGGATGGGCGGTGCCTCTCCCRGTGCCCTGAGGGCTACTTTAACCAGGAAGGTAGTTGCACAGGTGAGTATGTAACGTGCTGGGGCAGAGTCCCTATACCCAGGCTTTCTCTTCATACTGCAGCCAGACAGTGTAATTAGAAACCTTGTCATACCAGGGACTAGGGTTGGGCTGTAAAGCCTTGTCTTCAGTTTACAGGTGTAGAGGTACAGAGGGAGGGAAAATGTGAGATTCTGTGCTGCCAATAGGGAAGCATGGATGAAGTGAAAAATCAGAGTCAACTTTACCCTAGAGACTACAATTATTTGAATATACTTGGAACTAGGTGTTTTCTTGCCTGGGAGACCATGATCTGAATAAATAACTCCCTCATAAATTAAATAATGATGCTAATGACCTATAAGAACCAGAACTCAGTTCAGCATAACTCTTTGTTCCTATAGCTCATTAAAAATTTTTAAAGTTTTTTTTTCTGGTTATTAAAGGAGTATGTGTTCATGGTAAAAGTTTTGAAAATTCAGAATAGGAAAAATAAAAGGATTTGGAGGGTGGGGATCACTTATAATCCCACATACCAAAAGCAACAACACTTAACCTGGTAATATATTTCTTTTCAGTCTACCTTTTATGCATGCTGTTATTTAGCTGAAACAACATAAGAACTATACCTTTTTGCTATTTACTTTTCCCCAAACACTAAGTCATAAACAATTCCCCATATTAGGAAAAACTATATATATACACTTTTCATGGATGCCTGCTATTCCATTTTTTCTCTCCCATTCCTTGTCACAAAAGAAATGGAGGAAGGATTTGAAATTTAAAGGTTCAGTCCTCAAGGAGGCTAACTTTTTTTTACTTTATCTCTTACAATGTGGTTTTGCTCTGGTTATCTATTGCCACCCCAAATTAGTGGCTTAAAACAATAGATTATTTCATCTTTTTCCAGTTCTGGGAGTTGATGGACTCAGCTGGTCAGCTTTCTCTTAGGATTCTGTAGGTGGGTTCTTCATTGACGTATCATCCTCCTGCTTAGTCTCTTACCTGATGAGGCCTCTTGTGGTTAAGTGAACTTCTTCACAGCCTGGTAGACTTCTTTAGTCAGCCTTCTTAGACACCAGTTCTCTTCCCCTGAAGTGAGTTTTCTAAGAGACCTACTAAATAGAATGTCCATGCTTCTTATAATCTAACCTCAGAAGTCTTGCTGCCACTTCTACTACATTCTCTTGGTCAAAGCAGGACAGCCCAGGTTTGAGGGTACGAAGGGATAGACTCCATCCTTCAGTAGGTGAAAGGCTTATACGTACAGTGAGGGWTGGGTTTAATGAAGGTCATCGTGGAGACAAACTACTACAGGTTCAAATGCATGTTTATAGGATCAGGCATTTGRCACAGGTAACTATGGGTTTCATCTTCGTTCTTGTGGCTACCACCGAATAGAACAAGAGGGGAGAGAGGTATTTATTTCCTTTGTTGATGTGTTAGTCCAACATGTTTTTAAGAGTACCTTTATAATTCAATGACAGAGATTCTGGAAATTGCTAGTTCAGATTAGTGCAGGATTTTATTGGAATTGACAAAATACTAAAATTTAAGCACCTTATTGTAGGACTGTATTTTCTCGTATCTACAGGACAGAAAGAAGACAAAACACATTCTATTGTGATTTTTAAATTTTATTTCCAAAACTAGATGGCTGAAGCCAGCTAATAGGAAAAAGCTCATTGTGATAAAATCGTATTACATGTGTTTCTGGAGTCAGAACACAGGTAATAAATTTATAAAATATTTTTAAAATAAATTAACATTTGGTACATTCAGGTAGCCTTAAAGCTCAGAAGAGAAAATTTAGATTGAACACAAATTTAGACAATTGAAGATCAATATTATTTTTATTCTGGATTTTTCTTCCTTTTCGCAGATACCTTTTTAATTTCTCTAGGTCCTTGGTGAGATCTTTACTTTAAACACTCTATCAAGCCCAGTGGGAGAATGTTTCTGGTTTCTTTGTCATTAGAGTTGTCCTTGAAAGCCATTTTTATCCCTAGGTGCTTTCTTCCTAACTCAGTTGGTTTCTGTGTGTGTAAAATTGTTTTGAGGAGGAAACTCTGTGCAGCTCTAACTCTCCTCTGTCTGCCTGAAGTCAGCAGATGGATGGTACCACCAGCAGCAGGGCACCCAGGTCACTGGAAATATTCTGGTAGGGAGGAAGAACTGGGTGGGGGAATCATCCTGAGAATGCTAGCAGCTCTCAGATAGGCGTTTTCAAAGTCAAGAGCTCTAGGAATGTAAAAGGGGGTTAGTGCTCTCCTTCTAATCAGCAGTTCATTTTCTTGCTTGCTTTTCTTTTCTTTTTTTTTTTTTTATATAACTCCTTATCTTCTTCTGGCCTCTTGCCAGAAGCAAGAGGCAGTTGACTTGACTTGAAATCTGCACCATTGCTTTCCACCAGTCGTGTGCCAGGAAGGAATTCATCAGTTCCAGCAAGCTCTACCCAGCTCCAGTCCCTTGCCTCCCCACCTCTTGGAATCAGACCCGCTTAGACCTCCTGGTCCTTGGCAGAGAATCCTTAAATCTCCTTGCATGCGCCTGCTCCTGCTGCTGCCTGCTGCCTGCCTTGGCTGCGTCAACGCAGCTGCTGCTGCAACATCCTTTGATTCCTTGCCACTCTTATCTTTATTGCCTACCCCTTCCCGAGGCTCACCTGGTCTTTTGCAGTGTAGTACCTCTTGTTAACGTGGTGGTTTTTCTGGGGAAGACATAGCTTTGACATGATTTTGCTTTAGGAGTTGAACTTGAGATGCAGCTCATGATAACCTCCAGAGAGGACTTTTTTTTCCCCTGTTCTTCATATTTTCACTAATATTGCTGATAAAATGGACTTTCAAGTTGTGTGAAGAAGGGAAAGCTTGGCTGATGACACAGGCTAATGAGAAGTCTCAGTATCACTTGCTGTGTGTGGATCCCTCCGGGTGCCAGCAATTTCTGAGAAGTAAAATATCTCCCTCTTCTCCCTATCTCATTCTCCCTTTGAAGCATAGTATTTTGGAGTGGGGGGGCATTTTCCCATTTATCTTTGTGCTTTGTGACTCTGATTTGAACTTCCTATTTAATACAGATGGGGATGGTCATTCTGGTTCCCCTGGAAGGTATGATACATTACACAAAATTTTATAGTTCTAAATTCCATATTATGTTTGTGGACAGTATTCTTATTTTTTTAAGTATTTATATTTTAGTTGTAGTTGGACACAATACCTTTATTTTATTCATTTATTTTTTTTGTGGTGTCGAGGATCGAACCCAGGGTCTTGCACATATGAGGCGAGTGTTCTACCGCTGAGCCACAACTCCAGCCCAACAGTATTCTTATTAATACCAGAAATGCAGTCTCTTGGTTAGGTCTAAGGGAGTGCCTTCCTTGCTCTGGAATCTTCAAAAGATGTTTAGAGTTTGAGATTTGTAGAGTGCATTAAATACTTCATGAACTTGCATGTTGAGCTGCTAATTCTATTTCTCCCTTTAGAATGCCACCCGACCTGCAGGCGGTGCCATGGGCCCTTGGAATTTGACTGCACCTCTTGTCACCCTCATGTCACTGTTACCAATGGGAAGTGTAAGACCAGTTGCAAGGAAGAGCAATTCCTCAATCTTGTGGGGTACTGTGCTGGTGAGTGGAACTTCCTTCAAAGTCCTTGGAAATTGCCAGGCCGCTGCTGGGGCTCTTCACAGAAGGCATAAAGGGCTCTTGTACTTATCCTTTGGGCTCAGATGCTGAACTCTTCTATAGATACTTGTCTCATGTCTGGGAATTCTCTGCACTGCTCGCCTGCAGGCATTTACTAAATATTTGTGGATTCAAATGGAACATCTAATAATACTCCTGCAGGACCTAAAAAATCTTAGAATCTCATACCAAAGAAGAGTGAAAGGATGACTTTAGTACCTTTGTATGCAGTTGGCAATATCATTTTAAGACAGCAAAGTGTATTGTCAAAACACTCACTCCAAAGATGGTGTCCCTCTGTCTATTCTGTCTCCYCTTGCTGGGTAGAATCTTTGCCATAACCAGGCATGAAATTTTAAGGAGATTAACCCAAAAGTAGACTAGTTGCCTCAGGAGATGAGATTCTTTTTTTCATTCTCATATTAGAACTCAGATATCAAACAAACAACAAATTAGGAAAGCAAAGAGAAATTTCAGTAACATGATTTCAGACATCTGCCTTTTATATCCATCTATTCATTCACACAACATCAGGACATCTTGAGTCTCTACTAATGGTCAGATGTTTGGAATACTGCGGAGAAAGTGAAGAAGACAATGAGCCTGTCACCAAAGACTTTATACAGACGAATATAATGATCATGGGTCTGTGTACACGTTTTTACCCTCTTCTTTAAATTATARGTGAAATTTGAAGAGTTCTGCCTTTAGCAGCTGTGGTGCTACCGGGCAGATGGTAAAGGCGAGGAAGCTGGGACCTGGTAGAATGGGTGCTGGAGGGCTTGTCCTTGGGCAGGACRGACTCATGGCCAGTTGTCTAGGTCACAGTGTCCAGCAGGCACATTCAGTCTGGATATGACAGTCTGGTGGTGGGCAGAGGGAAGCGAGTCAGTGGCAGCGTAGCTGGTGACACCATGGTCCTGGGTGATCCAGTCCTTTCTGTGCAAGRTCTTCACACTAGACTTGGGGGTTAAGTTCTGAACTCTAAGAAGACTCAAAACTGTCAAGTTGTAGGAGTGTAGCTGAAAAATACTAGGATTCAGAGGGAAAGCCCAATCACAGAGACTGGGAACAATTTAGAGGCAATGAAAAGTAGAATCTCSAAATCCAGGCTTAAGACTAATCAGAAATCCTACCAGCTTCAGGATCTGAGTCTCCTTGCTCATGTTGCTCATTGTAGTCAGGTCTGTCTTAGGAGGTTGACAAAGGGAAGACATTGGTGTCTGCCTCCCAAGGGAGAATCTGATGATAGCAGGGGTTGACTGTTATTATCATTTGTAAGCTTGAATTTAGCTACTGAGTCTTACTTTACGATATACCGGAGGAGCTGTTATGAGAACTRAGAAGACCCTGATACAGTGTGTCAGTCAGCTTTGTGTTACTACAGTGAAATACCTGAGGCAGCCAACTTATAAATAGAAAAGGTTTATTTATTTTCAAGTTTTGAAGGTTGGAGGTCATGGCATTAGCTTCACTTCCATTCTGGTGAAGGCCCTTCTCTCAGCTGCATCACATCATGGTGAAGTCATGTGTGTACGTTAGAGCTTATATTACTAAACAGGAAGTCAGAGGGAACAAACTTCTACTACTTCCCAGTAGCACCACCCTGGGGACCAAGGCTTCCATCACAAAGGGTCTTTGGGGGATCCAAACCATATTAAAATCATAGCACATGGTTAAAACACATTAGTAGTTAAGTATTGAGGACCCACCAAGCCACAAGTTACTTGGTTGCTGTGTGAGGGAGCACAGAGACCCTTCAGCCTTCTTAAGGAGATGAACTAAAGACTCAGAAAACRAATCGTATAAAGAAATGTATGTTCAGTAACATTTATAGGCAGTAAAGGCTGTAGGAGTTCAATAGAAAGATATGCAACAAGACATGGAAGGCATCACATAGGAGAAGAAGAGCAAGGATTCAGTAAGAGGGAGGTCAGTGGGCTTTTTGATTCCTCCAGGAGAGAGGCCTAGAAGCTRAAGCCCAGAAGGATGTTCATGGCCAGTGAGTCATCCAACCAGAGTGAAGAACATGATTGGCATTAAAGCATATTARATGAAAGTGTTGGAAAATTTAAATTGGAACCAGAATATTAAAAAATCCAAAGTTTTGGGCAAAATAGTGTGGACTGATCTTATAGGTGATAGGGTTCTGAGAGTTTTGCAGAAAACTGTTCCTTGCCTTAAGGAGTGTTATGGKCAAGAAATCTGCAAGCTGTGTGAAAGATGGACAAGGAAAGATCTGCATCAGGGAGAAGAAGGAGAAGGTAGTACCAAAGCTACATCCTTAATGATGGCTTATTCTATTTCCAATCTATTTTCATGTGGACCCTAAAAATTTTATACTGGGACATATTTTATAAATAAATGTTTATATAAGGATATTGGAAAATTTTAATTTTTAATGAGCTCTGTTCCTGCCAATGTCCAGAACACTCTTTGATAGTAAATTAGGTGGTTAGGAAATGCATTAATTTTTTAAGGCTAATATGGGACCTTTAGAATCATGGGACTGAGTTAAATGATTCTGTGAGTCCCTCGTCTTAGAAGATCAGGTCCCATTAATGTGAGCAGGAAAGGCAAAGACTGGCTGTCAAGGGAATTAAGTGTACTAAAAAATGTTTTAAAATAAGATAGCCATCGTCTGGTGCTTGGGAATCATTTATTCGGTGAAGACTGGTGGAATAGTATTTGTTATAGAGAAGTTTGAGTAGTAATTTCAATTGTTACTTTTAGAGAAATGCATTGAGCCCAAGGCTTGTTCTTTTACTAAATATATGCCTTTTCTAAACACTTCTCACTCATCTGTAGCATTGTAACACATTCATCCTTTTACCAATTCATTGAGCATTTATTAAACATAAGTGCCATGGCAGGCTGAGCTCTGTGCTAGGCTCTGGGGGTACAAAGATGGAACTTTAATTCAAGAAACTTAGTTTAGTGACAGAAGGAATATTAGTCTTCTAGGGTTGATATAACAAAACACCAGAGGCCGGGTGTCTTAAGAGAAAGATCTGTGGAAGATGGTTTGGAAGATGAGATGARGGCGGAAAGACCTTAGGAGGTAGTTGCAGGAATCCACATGAGAGATGAAGACATTTATTGAGAAAATTGATGAGGGGATGGAAAAAAGAAATCCTGGCTTTTCTAGACCAGACGTCCAAGATCAAAGCCAGCAGGGTTGGCTTCTCCTGAGGCCTCTCTCCTTAGTTTGCAAATGGTTGTTCTCTTGTTGCCTCCTCACATGATCTCCCCGCTGGCCTCTTTTCTTATAAGATTGAATTAGGATCAGACTCTGAGGCTTATTTTAACTTAATTATCTCTTTGGTGGTCCTATATCCAGCCGTGATGACATTCAAAGGTTCTGAGTTTTAGGACTTCAACACACAGATTTGTGGAGGACACAGTGCCCATAAGAGAGGAGGGTATTGATTAGTATGATGTTGCTGTGGTACTGTGTCCACGGTACAGGATCCTTGATAAACCTGCAAGACAGGACCCCAACCCAGACTAGAATGTCTGTATAAGGGGGTGTGAAGGCTCTCTGGAGCATGTCACAACTGATAGGATTTTGAAAGGTAAGAATTAGAGGAGCATGAAGTTTTGAAGAATAGAGCAATCCAGCAATTCCAAAGAAGATACCTACTTAGTCATCCATGAAGACTTAAGTAGAATGTCAGTCCTGGGTGTGGGAAGCGTGAGACTTGAAGTGGAGAGAAGCAGGGCAGAGCAGCAAGGCTCTACTCAGTTTAAGAACATTCTCTGTTATCCAGGCAGTAGTGAGATTATCTCTCAAAGGCTTTAAGCAGGGAGTGTCATGGTGCAAGTGAAAGATCTGTGGAAGACGTCTTGGGAGATGAGACTAGGACAGAACCACCATTGGGAAGTAGTTGCGGAATCCACATGAGAGATGAAGCTCTTCATTGAATGAGCTGCTGAGGAAATGAAGGGAGGGAGTCCTGCTTCGTTGGCTGTGACTCTAGGTTAATCTGTACCTGTTTGCTGCTTTGTGGGCAGAAATAACCAAGAGTGGCAATTTCTTTCAGACCTGATGATAATGGAAGAGGGTTCTTTATAGATGGTTCCCAGGTTTCAGGTCATAGAAATTCAAGGGATGGGAGTAGATAGATGTACCACAGGTAGGAATAGGTGTAACACAGAGTGAGGAAGACTGTGTGTTTGAATTTAGACAAGTTGAACTTGGGGTGACAGTTGGACTTCCTGGGGCAGCTGTTCAGGAGCAGACTGAAGGGACGAGTGAATCGGTTTCTTCTTGCAGCCACCAGGAACTTGTCTCCTATCTTAAGTTGACCCTGAACCTTCCTCCTGGAATTCTATTTTTTAAACTGAAGTGTTGCSTTATTTGGGTTGTAGTTAACCTCGTGGAATGTTTAGATGAGTTTTATCTAAACTCAGGAAGGTGTCAGGAGGAGCTATGCGATGACAGAATGGGGGGTCATCCACCCTGGGCCGTGTCATTAGTGGAGCGTCCTTCAGYGTCCTTGAGAAGTCCTAGCTCATTGGAGGGTCTCTCTGCTCTATGGTGAGCCTTACAGGGTGGTGGGATTTACCTGCGGGACTTATTCACTATCTGAGCTGTACCCCAGATCATCATTGGAGACCTCTTAATCACACTTAGCTGTTTAAAAAAGAAAATTACATCTAATCTATCACACAGACAAGAGTAAACACATCCTGGGAACAGGTCCAATAACCTCAATGTGTTCTCACATATGGAGATGTCATATGTTTGGGATTTTTTTCCTCTAAGTCTATCAAAGAAAATATATGGTTAGTGAGATTTAGGCCTGGGCTGAGGGTTTTCAACAAAGATAAATGAACTGGGGTGAGAGGCAGGAGTGCATAACATTGAGATAGACATGGTTAAGTGCTATGGAGAGCAAGGGTTTTTCTTCATAGATTTTTTTTTTCTCCCACATCTCAAC